TGAAGCTAGACGTACAGTGTACATTCAGTTACTGTACATGTACTTACGTTGATCACTCACACATAAGTTCACTACCTCACTTTCCTGGCTGCAGCCAGGCTGCGCTGCAACCACACACACAGTGCCCACTGCAGACAAACCACACCGCCGTAAATCAGACCTAAAAGTGGACACACATGGCCGTGTACTGATTGAAGCCATTATATCGTGGGTCGTTTACCACTAGAAAGGCCATGAACTAGGTGGGGTGGTCTTGAATGCGAACCCGGGAAACCCGGGTTCGCAAAAGCCACATTAGACTGGGCTCGGTCCAGTAATGGATCAACAAAAAATTGAAGAACCAGTGTGACGTCTGGACAGAATGGGACTAGATTAACTTTAATCTTCAAAAAAAAGCACTTAATGAAACTACGTCAAACTACGAAAAAATTAGAGGCCAATGAAACTTTGCTGGTCAAAAGAAATAGGAGCGTGGATTAAACAAAATTTAAAGTCAAGCAAATACAAGCTAAAAAAATGAATGAATTTCAACAAAAAATGAAAACCTAACCAAAAATAAAACTAAAAAAACCCGAAAGCCAACACAGCATATAAGAGGGTTGCAAAACAATAAACACAACAGCTTTGACAACCTGAAACATTAAAAAACGAAGAAAAACGAATGAATACATGAAAATGATTGAAGATTATACGCAAAAAGTAACTTTAAAAGTTAAACAAGGTAAATGTTGTAAGTCTACAAAATAAGTTGACCAGTCCCTAGTTCACACAAACCATCTGGCTCTCCCTTTCACACTGAACCAGTAAACAAAAAACCACAGCCAGAGGTGCATGTAGTGTGAACACCTAATGAGCTGATAAGACTATCCCTGCCTTCAAGGTCAGCTGGCCACAGACAAACCATAGAGCTACAACCCATGGACAAACCAAGTGTTCACCCCGGCTAGAGACTAGAGGAGACTTTAGTCCTCCCTACGTAAATCAATCAGCGACACAATCATTATGTATAAAAAATGACCGGAGTTAATACTAACCAAAGGACTAAGGAACAAGTCTAAACTGCTG